TGCCGTTTGGCCGTCTCTATAATCTATACCGATGTGCTAAGAATGCAATGCAAAATTATTTATTTAGTCTTGATGATAAATTTATCGCCATTTTACCTTAGTTAGGATTTTGCATTGCCATTTTGCCTGAGATCTTCTGGAGCCTTTGAAATGGATTTAATCAGCCTTTTACAAAGTTGAGCCGATTGAATCGCCCCGATTGAATTCAATATTGAAACTGGACTTCATGTAACAGTTTGATTTATCTTGCGATCCAATGAAAGCAGGTAAGATCCCTGTAAGTAAATTCGCTGTCATCTCGTACTTAAATGAAAGCATATTCCTCCTGATGCAAAAAAGGTGGTATCTAAAAGCCGTGCTAACCCTCGCCCAGTTGGGGGGGGGGGGCATTTTGGCCCCCCTGTGGTTTTTCCTGAATAGCAAGAAAACGGCGGCGCGTAGCGCCGCCAAATTTTCAGTACCTTCCCGGGCATCAATTTGACACCTTCACACAAAATTTCAAGTCTTAGGTGACCTTAGGTCAGGAGTTATTGAGGTCAAACTGAGGTCATGTTCGAGCAAAAATGAGCAAAAAACATGCAATCTTGAAACGCTCACCAAATCTACAGTTATCAAGCAATTTCAAAGTTCTTTATATAGTCTAGTAGACAAAAAGCGGCGCTACAAAACTGCTATCTCGGATTTTCAAAATTTTGGGTTTTTGACCCATTTTTTTTTAAATGATTTTTTTTAGAAAAACTAAAAAAAATCCAAAATTTTTCCGAATTTCGAAAAAACCGGAACATATGTGATAGTCCCTGTGCTTTTCTATATACATACCAAATTTCAGATCGATATCTCGTTTTTTGGCCAAGTTATAGCGAAAAAACTGTTCAAAAATGATGACGTCAAATTTTTGAACTCAATTTTTAGCGATTCTAGACCTCGTACGGCAAAACAAAGACCACCATTGAACTCCCCGTGACGAGCTGCATCGATTCGATACCCATTTTATGCAAAAATATCAACTTTGAAAATTGACCTAATTTGACCTGACCTTGACCTGACCTTGACCTGACCTTGACCAAAACGTGACCTAAGCTGGCCCCAAAGGCTGCCTGACCCACATAATCGCATTTGTCATGTAAAATGGACCATAAAACATGTATCACACGACACTTACATATTGTGACCCCCCAGTGACCTGACCTCTGTGACCTGACCTGGTATCAGTGACCTTAACTAGCAAAATATGTGTTTGAAGAACATTTCCCCATCGATGATTTTCAATGAAATGCATTTTACTGGATTTTACAACGCATTTCTTGAAATGCCTGTAAACGGTGAAAATTGGACCTTTGACCTGACCTGTGACGTCATCGGTTTGACCTAGGTCAATAAAATTGGGTCACAAGGTAGTTCCCTGATAGGGCTATCCAACACCGTTTGCCGCTTGTCGCTAGGTTGCGTGGTTCTCGAGATCTTAGGGGGGGGCCAAAATGCCCCCCCCCCCCCAACGGGGCGCGTTGCTCGGCAGAGCCCAACGGGGCGCGGGCTAATAAAATGTTATAGGAGTTGGACAAGAGCTCCGTTTCCCACTATACGAGGGCCACTGAATTACCGTCTCTCCAACACGCATAAAGCTGTTCGTAAGCTACAGTATGCCGCTTGCCGACCAAATGCTACATTTGCCGCTGCTTGGGAAATGAGTCACACTCTAGCCTATGTTCTGTTCTGGTTTCTCTGTCAATGGGCGATCTAACTCAATACCACGCTCAATGAACGCAGGCCGAAGTCTGAAGGAAAGTACTTTCCGCTGGCGTGAAACATTTCACGCCCAAATTACGCTTCGCTCAGATCTTGAAATCAAAGTCGGACGCAAACACTTTCGTTCACCTCTCGTCGTGTCGACGAAGCGCCACTTCGTCTGATCCTTTTAGTCACGAGCTGTACTTTCTGCTCCACTGAATGAAAGAAAAAAATTGAGTCGAAAAGCAATACTTAACGAAACAGAGAAGAATGGCGCGACTTTTGACTTTTACCAACACCGTTGTGATCATAGTCTTGAGAAAGGAAACATGAGTAACCCGCCACTGAATGAGAGGGGGGGGGGGTGGAATTTAATGCTTCCCTGCCGTCTTTCACGATAACTGAAGAACTAATCATGCGATCGGTTATGTATCACATACCATCACCTTTAAATGTATTTACATTTATATTATTATCCTGCTAAACAGCATTATCCGTCAACAACATGTGAGTGAGCTGCATGCGAGTGATCAGGCTTTGCGCTAAAAATCAATGTGAAGAGTAAACTTTTTCAACTTAACTTATTTCCACGTTATTTTTCTTTGATTAGTCAAATATCAATGGAATCACTTCAATCAGGTCCCTGCATTATATTTGTGGGTACTTCTATTGAATTCAGCGCTCGTGCGTAAGTCGTTTATCTTTTGGACGAGTTTGTGAGACCCGATCGGCCGCGGGGCCTCGGCTCGCCCCTCTGCTGCAGGCTGATGCAAACCACTGATCCTGTCACCGTCCGTCCATCGCCCGCGGCGCTGATTCGTCGGGGGGGGGGGGTCGGCGGCCGGGGGCGGCCGGTACTTGGTGGGGTCAGAGCCGCGCCGAGCAGCGCGTCACCGCAGGCCAGCAACCGATCAGTGTGCATCCGGCTCAGCAGCTCAGCCTGTCCGCCAGCTCTGCCACGTCCATTGTGCTCCACGGCTTACCACTAAAATAATGTTCGATTGCTGCCTTTTGTTATATAAAATATCCGTGATTCAAAGAATACGCCATGTATTTGATTGAGCAGTGTGCTTCATTTCAAATCGAACCTTGCTAATTTCTCTTCCTGAAAAAACGAAATGAACGACGAAATGAAAAACGAAATAGTAATAGGTATGCCATGGGCCTGCTGCACTTCACAGATGTCTGTTTTTATCAGGACGACATAACTCAGGAGGCGTTTGATTTTAGTGTTAATTTATATTTGAGGTATAGGTGAATTATCCAAACAGCCAGCGGTTTTTTATTTTTCTTTAATGCATTCTCAATGGGCTTTATCTGTTGCCCTTTGTTCTCAAATAAAAAGCTCAGACCTTTGCTCTAATTAATGTATTTTTTATGCCATTAACATCTGCTGGAAGAACACTTGGGATGTTTTTAGTCAATTGTTTTCTATTTCAGCTGATTGTTCACACAGCTTTCATAGCTAGCAGCAACTGAGTATAACGGTCTAAACATAACATCGATTTACCATAGCTCGACCAAAATGAGCGTTCACTGACTTCGCTCTTCAAACTGGTGCCACCGGAAGCTTATCTTAATGGAAAGCGCTTCAGATAGGTCCGGCGTGTCTATCGGAGGTCCTGGGTAATCTCAGCAGACACAGGGGACCGGCTGCGCGCCGATCTCGTTTGGCTGTATGAACGGCGCCCCTCCCTGGCGGCCGGTAGCCGCAGGCCGCCCGCCGGGGACCTCAATGGCAGACAGAGTCCCCCCTGATAATCGGACATCAGTCTGTCATTTCGGGCCGCGGTGGAGTGTGTGGAGCGCCGCCGGCGGACGGTAGCAGCGGCCAGAGCTGTTTGTTGCCGCTCTAATTCAATCTGGCGCCCCACAGCCCACCGCTGCGGCCCCTGCTCGCGGCTGCCAGGGGCGCTGGTGGGAACTGTCGCGCTCTCTGAGCTGGAATCCCATGTGTGACTGAGCTTTGCCGACGGCATGCCATCTGGTTTGGCAGCTGGTTACGTCACAGGCTAATGGACCGGCTCTTTTATTGCGTTTGGGATCTCGGTGGGGAACGTTAAACCCTAATGTGGGCTTAATTAATATCATTGCTATATGATAAGCGAATTGTAAAGGCTTGAATACAGTTTCTTTCTTTTATTGTGAGATGGCAGTCAGCAATTTTTGAACAAAACACCGAGGAAGTTATACATACATCCATCGTTGAAATGAGATTGAAATTGGCCTCATGGTGATTGGTGTAGGTATAAGGACGATTGGACATTTCAAATCTAGATCGGTTAGTAAAAGGTGCCTGTCCCGTAGCTCAGTTGGTAGAGCATCGGACTCCCGGTAGTGAGAGCCCGGGTTCGAGACGCTCCGGTGCTCGATATTTGAGACTCCTGACGGGGATGGTCTGCGGTTGGTGGGAGCAGCCGCAGCCAATTGAAGTCAGTTGAGTGGGACAGGCCGTGTCCGGCTTTGAAGGGCACGTTAAACTTTGGCATCTAAATTCTCCCGTTACCCGGAATTGCGCGATCGGACGGTAGGGGTCGGGGTCTACGCAACAAGCTCTGCTTAGCGTTGGCTCTGGCTCTGTCAATCCGTCCATTCAAACATTCGAGCTAAATTTATTCAAAAAAAGGCTCTCAGTTTATATTGCTTTAATGGTATGATGACACACTCAAAACTCAAATTATATTATTCAGCTTCCGGGAATACAACTTTGTAAAACTGCGCATTCACATGTATAAAAGGGTGTGATTATTTGTGTTGTTATATCACTGATCAAACAACAAAAACGATCACACCTATCAGGTACGTAATTGATCCCAGATTTCGCTATTCCTTGGAGGAAATAAAAATAGAGCAAGATGGTATTTTAGTATTGTGTAAGGTGTTTCCTCGGTTCAGTTCCATTTTTGTGACGAAAAAAAGTTTGAGTGGTGTGGCTTAGGTGTCTGTTATGCTTGACTTGGCTGAGATTTGAGAATGAATAATATCAATAACAGTAAGCAGACATAGTATGGAGTTCGATCTCATCAAATATAGATCAAATATATAACCAACGTTGCGTTTTAGCATGAAGAAGTAAATATAGGTCATTGGGATAGGTTTTCATACTTAATAAAAAAGATGGACTGATCTTTTTACGGAATTCACAAAATGAGCGAAAAACGACCACCAATTTTCAATGATGACAGACATGAACAGTGAACACGAATATTACATGAATATACCCGAATAAATGTCCCCTCACCAGTCCACCACCATCTCATTCAGTTGTTCAGCTACACGTGGTGGCTGTCTCGGTACCCACCAGTGGGTCCGCGGCCCATCTTCACCGAGCTGCGACCCTCCTCCTCGCCATCCTCATTGACAAACCTCGCCTCGCCCTCGTACTGCACGTCGGCCACGAAGCCCGAGTCGCCCTCGACCGCGTACGAAACGGTCTGCAGCCGGCCGTCGGGCAGCAGCACGCTGTACTGGCCCTGCACCTGACGGCCGTCCGACTCCTCGGCTGCGCCGAAGTCGTTGCCGCGGACGTCCACGAGGTCGTAACTGAAGGAGTATGGCCTGGAGGTGGTGGTGGTGCTGTTGGAAGGCCGGTACAGCACCGGCGGCTTGATGTAGCTCGTCCTGGGCTGCTGAGGATACTTGGTGGGGTAGATGGGTGGAGGGACGGGGCTTTTGTGAGAAGGTGGGAGGTATTTTCCGGAGCGGGAGAGCTCGTACAGCTCGCTGGCGTACGATGGAGGGACTGGTGCGTAAGGTGCGTGAAGGACGTCCTCCAGCCGGTTAGAATACGCTCTGTAGGGGAACCGAGAAAAGTCGTCATGTGAAGGACGTGGATAGTCACCGAGGAGTGATCGAAGGAGTTCTTCGTAGGGCGAGACTCCGTACGACGGCCGGCGCCGCAGTTCGTCGGGAGAGTGTTCAAACTCTCGGTAACTCCTCAGTGGGAGGTCGACGTACGGCCTCGGAGGGTAGACGTGGTGCGGATCGTCATACGGCGAGATCGGCTTCAGGGTGGACTGGAACGGACGCCGCCGTGACTGAAGACTGCTCTTCTGACGGTAGACGGGTGGTGAGTCGTACCCGGGGCCGAACGCCTCCGCACCACCGGCCACCATCAGCACAGCGAGCACAGAGAACACGAGGACAGCCATGTCTGCCTGCGCCAGTCAGCCGACCGAGTGTGCTCCGCTAAAAGGCCGCGCCGGGTTATATACTACACTGAAAGCAAATTCAGTGGCCACGGGATGGTTACTACGTGCGTAGTACTACTCCGTTGACCCGTGTGACCTCTGTGTAACCCGGTGTGCATAATTTGCGGGCGCGGCGGAGCGGCTACCGAGACCGATCGAGCGCGATCTGGGAGGTGTTGCACCGCCCCATATCGGCGACCCCGCTGACCCGGCCCTCCCAGGTGGTCGGCCGACAGATTGGCCCAACACCGGGGCGCGTGTGTGCGGGCCGTCGGTCAGCCGCCGCTGCGTGCCGCCGGCCGACACTTCAGCGGCCGTCGATGGCCGTCAATGCGTGCCGGTCGTGCGGCGGCCGCGCGGCGCGGAGGACCATTTTCTCACCCCGCCGGCGGCTGCCGCCCGAGGCATAGTCTGCGTCACCGTGTGGTGACATCGGCGGGCCGATCTCGCCCCAATCAGGCGGTACGGGCCGCCGGCCGACCCGACTGTTGCTCAATGTCACGCCGAGGCACCGCTGCCATGTGGGCGGCTCTGATAGCAGCGTCGGAGGCGGCGGATCGCATGGCACCAGATGAATGGCATCATATTTACACGGTAGTTGGCGGCGGGTACTGGGTGCTGAGCTTGAAACTGACCTTAGCTATATTCGACACTTTTTTTGTTGAAATGTTGAAATGTTAAAACCAATTGTTACGGTTACTTTGTGGACGCTGAACGATCCATTTAGGAAAAAGTGACGTTCATGAATACATATTGGGAGATAAAGAAACAAAAATGATTCTCGAATGACGGCTGTGTTCTCAGATAGCATCTGGAAGTGTCGTAATTTCATAGCAAGTGATTCAACTGCTATGAAAGCACATCGCTCGCTTACATCCTTATAAATCATAATATGCTCATGTTCTACTTCTTAAGACGTTAGCTGTGAAAGTCGTTAACATTTGCTGGCCTACAGAAGCATAGAATGACATTCTATCATCACATCAAAATAGTTTTCTGCTACAGCAGAGCCTCACGAAAATCACAGCTGGGCTGTTATAAATAGGCAGAAATGTCCTCATCAATGTTTCGAATGTTCTGAATGTTGTTTAATTTAGCGTTCATCTACACAGCATGCAAACGGCTGACGCGCTCCCAATATTATCCCCAGCGTTGTAAGAATTGCCCCCCAGCCGGAGTGTGCCTGCTGGCGATTTTATCAGCGCGGCTGCGGCTGGCTGGCCAATCATGGAAATTGGACGGGACTGGTTCGCAAAACTGTCGGCTGACTCGTCCCATATATCAACAGGCGTAATCGACTAATGGTTTTCTGTGGTTAGTGGGCACACGCCGGATGACGGGGGCGGTTCAAGTGTCCTCCATTGAGCAAAACCGCAGTGAGGCGCACGACAAAGTCGCTGACACGCTGCTTTGGTTTAGGCGGATACACGCTATCTGGTCATTAGAATGTTCGCTGAAACTAGCGAGGAAGTAAAAACTCTTTGTAAAGTGTGCATGATGCATAATCACCACTTTAGCATCCTGTTTGCTCACACGATGGCTTGTCTGAGGTGCTTACATGCTCATTTACCTACATATGTAGTGTTGAATGCTATGACACAATTTTCTCAAAATTCATGTTTTTTGTGCAAACATTTTTGGGTGCATTTTTGATACGTCAATTTTAGAATTTGACGTGAGGTCAAGGCCACGCCCTAATAGAAAAAAAAACACCGCGTGATCGTATACCTGGATCTACCTATCATTGCTTTATTTGAGCGTATGGAGCTATGTATACTGTAGACCTCCAATATGCAATTTGCTAGCGTTATGGAAAACAAACTATCAAAAGTCGTTCAACTGTAACTGAGCCGACATGACCTACTGAGATATCACGCTTTTATTCCCAAGCTCCTGGGAGCACGATGTCTGCAGCACCCATGTGAAGCCACCATAAACGCGTATCTGCCGTTAATACGACCATATATCTAAATATGCCTGCTTTGCCATGCGGCTCGAATACACTATATTTCAGCGAACACTGCTCGTAGGCGTAAATCATGTCGAAATGTGGCGGCCCTATGAGCTGTCCTTTGCATAGGCAGCTCTGAAAGTCGTGAACACTTTGATGATAAAGACTTCGAGTCACAGACTTTTGTGACGCCCTAATTGGTGTATGATGAAGGAGGGCGTGACGCATTGTTCAGCTATTTGGTATGGTGTTTCGAAACTCAGCTCCCAATTTCAGTCTATCTAGGTTGTAGTAAATGTAGCTTCAGACGATCCGTTTATCAAAAACTTGGCACGAAAAGGTTAGCCACTTTTGGTGCAGTCAACTGTCAGCATAAATTTCGGAGAAACGGAGTGATTTGAGAAAACTGAGAACGCTGTGACGCTTATAGAGCAGCGAGGTGACCTCGAATGCGGCAAAATGTAGCATGGAGTACTTCGGCTTGTGTTTAATTTAGCCTTCTGAGTGGTATGCTTTCAAGCATGAAACTTTGTGTTCCATATGAAATATTTGAAGAGTTTCTCAGTGCCTTAAATTACTTTAATCAATGAAACTTCACCGATACAAACGATTTGAAACTGGCTCGGTAGGTACTTCTGCTTGGGACAAATCGTAACATAAATGAACTGAGTTGGACAGGTTAAACATGAATTGGTTAACCTGTCTGTCTCCCATTCGCCTCCCATTTACCCATTCGTACCCAAAAGTGTGTGAATGGGTCAATTCGCACACTTTTGATCTTGGCGCATAAGCAACATGTCAAGCTATCGATCTTCCTGTATTGTTCAACTACAATGGATAGAACCACATGTGCTGAACATGCCAAGAGCGCTTCTTCGTGCAGACACCACGGAAGGTCGCGGGTTCTGGAGCGGTCCCCGGGTCCATCGTCATGGATGCACGTCTCGCCGCGCCGCGCCGCCCACCGGCTGTCTGATGGTGTTCGTTCCGAGATGACGGCTAACTTTTGGTCCCCTGGGGAGCGGGGTCAGGCGATCCTCACGCTCCGCGCCAGAAGTCGCGTCTAATTTGTCGCACAGTGTGGACAAGTCCGCTGGGCCAGCGAAACGAGAAGAATCGATGGAGGAGGAGGTGGATGACACCAACGGACCGACGGATCGACGGATCGACGGGCCGACGGACAGACAGACAGACAGACAGACAGACAGACAGACAGACAAACAGACAGACAGACAGACAGACAGACAGACAGATAGACAGACAGATAGACAGATAGACAGATAGACAGATAGACAGACAAGAGTCAGACCGGCAGACAGACAGACAGACAGACAGACAGACAGACAGACAGACAGACAGACAGACAGACAGACAGACAGACAGACAGACAGACAGACAGACAGACAGACAGACAGACAGACAGACAGACAGACAGACAGACAGACAGACAGACAGACAGACAGACAGACAGACAGACAGACAGACAGATTGACAGTCAGACAGACAGACAGACAGACAGACAGACAGACAGACAGACAGACAGACAGACAGACAGACAGACAGACAGACAGACAGACCAACACACTGACAGACCAAGGCCGTCGCCACCGCCAACGTCAAGCGTCGAACGCGAGGCGGCGCGAGGCGGCGCACCTCGGACCAAAGTTCTGAATGATTTAGTGTGGGGCGGCGGGCTGATGAATTGGAGCCGACCGGGCGCGCCGACGGAGAGCGTTGAGCCGACATTGTTCGCCGCGGCGGCACGCTGCGGTCGACAGATGCTGTTGGGCGCCGGCGGGCCGCCGTAAAAGCCTGCCGAGTGGGCGGGCTGCCCGCGACATCCACGACCCGCTCTGAGGAGCTGCGAGGTATTTGTGAGGTCACAGGGGCGGTCAGCGCTCAGAGATCGGAAACAGCCTAATTTGGATGTCATTGGCAGGTATTGGATCTGGATGGCGACCTATTGAATAAACGCACGGTGGCATTATTTATGTTAATTTACATTTACTCACACAGCCAAAGCTTACTTTGCAATGTTTATAGTAAAGACTTGCACAGGAGAAATACAAACCTTTCTCCTCGGTTTGTTATGTCAATAAAGTGGATGATTCATAAATGGGTACCTGGCAGATATGTGACATTCTTAGTGCACGGTAGGTTTACGTAACTGTTTTATTCATCAAGACTTTTCTGTGATGCATAAGATACCTAAATGGTGTCTATCTCTCCTCTGTGATCTCCACGTAATTAACGCTGAGTAACATTTAACAATTATTTTATGTGTGCTCGTATTTCAAGCGTAATAATAAAAATGAAAGTGAGAGTGCTGCGGATAAATCAATCCCTACGATGTGAATATTCTCAATAACTACACGCTTGAAAGAACAGCAGCAGCACGCATTGGTCATTACGCATTATATCGCGCAGGTAACCTAACAGTATACCACTCATGCGGGGTGGAGCTGGCACACTGGACCCGCTGTTGAACTGCAGCTATCAGCCAATCTGTGGTGCCTGCGCCACACTCGCTGGTCGGACATTAACTCCGGGTGGGGCGCGATGTTAACACGCGCACTGCAGCGGGTCTGAGCCGAACACGAACTGCAGGGGGGGGGGGTTGAAAACAACCCCCCCTGAGATCTCGAAAACGGCGCAACGTAGCGACAAGCGGTAAACGGCGTTGGATAGGTTAAGATGAGATCGACAAGAAATACTAAGATCATTTTTGGGTCAGGTCAAAAACGAGGTCACCAGAGGTCACCGAAGACAAAATGTTACGATTTTCACAACAGGAATTTCGCGGTAGTTTTTCTTGAATAACTTGTCTTGCACACAAGACAGAGGATCGATTCTGACGCCATCGTTCTTAGCTCGTCAAGGCGCATCGAATGATATATAATATGACCTCGAAAGGTCAAGTTGAAAATTTGACCTCAGGTCAAGGTCATGACCTGACCGAAATAGGTCATGTTGCATATCATTCGATCCGCATTGACGCGAAAAACACGAT